GAACTAGATAGTGCTCTTGATTTACTTTGGGACATGCTTTGAGCCCTTAACAGAGAGCGCCATCTAGCAGGGTCAGAAAATACAGCAAATGGTTCATGAAGAGTTCTTTTATAGTTGGGAGTAGTGAGCTGCGGCCACCTTAAGACCCGGCATGCAGCACAAACAAACGGATGTATGTGGAGGGTCACTGAGGGCAACACGGCTACAGTCTCAGAGAAGCAAATATAAGTGAATTAAAAAACTAGAATCTAAAACTTTGATCTACGCAATGCATGGATGTACAAAAAGCTTGGTTCTTTTATATTCGAAAACCAGTTTGACCAATTTACTGAAAAGAACTGGTTCAAAAGAACGATTCCTTTACAAGTTTCTCACTATGACCATATTGCGTTATAGTTTGCATAGTGCTTTTCTCTCCAACTGAAAATCGTGCAAATACAAGTATGATTCTGCATTGTATTTTACTTGGGCACTAATATATAAATTATGTTAGAACAGATTTGTGGTCTGATATCACGTGTTGTAAAAGGACTGACTATACAAACTTCTGTACAGAACTCATTTTGATTATGAATTTAGTTATCGTCAATATACATGCAGTGAAGTGTAAAACAAGAAGGTCCTAACCTCATGATAAAGAAAAAAAAGTGAGTATTGCGATTGTGGCAGTTGCTTGCCAAGCCTTGCAGTTGGCATATCAATATAATGGGATTGCAATATTGTGGTAATTGCAACCGCCCTGGCCAGCTCCTTCACAGTGAGGTCCGGCTTCTCCAGGCTTCCCTGGCCAGCTCCTTCACAGTGAGGTCCGGCTTCTCCAGGCTTCCCTGGCCAGCTCCTTCACAGTGAGGTCCGGCTTCTCCAGGCTTCCCTGGCCATCTCCTTCACAGTGAGGTCCAGCTCCACAGCTCACATTGGATGTGCTGTGTCAGAAAGTACAGAACACACCACGGAAATCGGATCCCTTATTTTTGTCTTCGGTTCCCAGGTCAGAGCTTAGAAGTTGAATAATGATTATTTCCAAATTTCTTTTGCCCTCTCCCCGGCTTAGAGATGGTCATTTTAGAGAGAGAGTTTGCATGATCTCCGTGTCATGTCCCATGTCATGTAATCAGGCTAACTAGCGTCTATACTATACTGTATGGTATTGAGTGGTTGTCCTGCAGTGGACTGACATCCAGAGTGTTCTCCCAGCCTTCTGCCCTATTCTGACCAGCATAGGCTCCAGGCATTTATCCTGACCAGAAAAAGCTGTTGGAAGATACATAGATAAATGTTATGTTTATAGTAAATATACATAGTATATGAGGTGTTTATAACACTTAAACACGAAAAAATGTGAAACTTAGAAAAACACAGATCTCAATGGAAAAAAATATCTATACTGAATATCTTATACTGATATGGACTGGGTAATGTGTTGGGAACGAAAGGATGCCACATCGTTTGATGGAAATGAAAACTATCAACCTACAGAGGGCTAAATTAAAAGACACCCCGAAAATCAGTGAAAGTGAAAAAATGATGCAGCAGGCTAGTCCATTTTGCCAAAATTTCATTGCAGCAACTCAAAATCGTACTCAGTAGTGTGTGTGGCCCCCATGTGCTTGTATGCATGTCTGACAATGTCAGGGCTGCTCCTAATGAGATGATGGATGGTGTTCTGGGGGGGGATCTCCTCCCAGATCTGGACCAGGGCATCACTGAGCTCCTGGACAGTCTGAGGTGCAACCTGGTGGCGTCGGATGGACCAAAACAATGTCCCAGAGGTGTTCTATTGGATAGGCGACCGTGGGGGCCAGTCAGTGGTATCAATTACTTCAGGAACTGCCTGCATACTCTTGTCACATGAAGCCGGCATTGTCATGCACCAGGAGGAACCCAGGACCCACTGCACCAGCGTAGGATCTGACAATGGGTCCAAAGATTTCATCTCGATACCTAATGGCAGTCAAGGTGCCGTTGTCTAGCCTGTAGAGGTCTGTGCGTCCCTCCATGGATATGCCTCCAAAGATCATCACTGACCCACCACCAAACCAGCCATGCTGAACAACGTTACAGGCAGCATAACGTTCTCCATGGCCTCTCCAGACCCTTTCACGTCTGTCACATGGGCTCAGGGTGAACCTGCTCTCATCTGTGAAAAGCACAGGGTGCCAGTGGCAGACATGCCGATTCTGGTATTCTATAGCAAATGCCAATCGAGCTACACGGTGCCAGGCAGTGAGCAGAGGGCCCACTAGAGGGCATCAAGCCCTCAGGCCACCCTCATGAAGTCCATTTCTGATTGTTTTAATAATAATAATAATAATAATAATAATAATAATTCACACTTTTATTAATCCCCGTGGGGAAATCCTTTTTACGCCTCCCTCAACTTGCTCTTTGTAGAGCAAGCTGTCCGCGAAGGGCAGCCACCTGTAGCGGCGCCCAGGGAGCTGGGGGTTGAGGGTCTTGCTCAAGGACCCACAGACGTGCTGAGGCTGGGCTTGTGATTACAGGCACGCGGCTTAGCCCACTGAGCCACACGCTGCGGAGACATTCACACCAGTGGCCTGCTGGAGGTCATTTTGTAGGGCTCTGGCAATGCTCATCCTGTTCCTCTTTGCAAAGGAGGAGATACCGGTCCTACTGATGGGTTAAGGACTTTCTACAGCCCTGTCCAGCTCTCCTAGAGTAACTGCCTGTCTCCTGTAATCTCCTCCATGACCTTGAGACTGTGCTGGGAGACACAGCAAACCTTCTGGCAATGGCACGTATTGATGCGCCATCCTGGAGGAGTTGGACTACCTGTGCAACCTCTGTAGGGTCCAGGTATCACCTCATGCTATCAGTAGTGATAGACTGTAGCCAAATGCAAAACTAGAGAAAGAAAAAAAACAGTCAGAGAAGATATGGGAAACATGTCAGTGGCCCCCACCTGTTAAACCATTCCTGTTTTGGGGGTCGTCTCGTTGTTGCCCCTCTAATTTCATTAATGTAGGGACTTGATTGAACTCACCAGGGCAAGAAACAAAAGGGATCACGTGGGGGACACTGCCAAACAGGTGTAAGCATAGACACAGCAGGGAGCAACATCAACAGCACTGGCCAAGACAAGAGTGGCAGGCACTTACACACTGGGTTAACAAGGGGATAAACAGGAGGCAGCTGGAGCACGTGATTTAAAAAAAAAAAAAAAAAAAAACAGACTGAGGAGCAGGTCTGCACAGACACAGCAGGGAGTGACGTCAATGATGGAACTGGGGAAGACAATATTGGTAAGTAATCATACACTGGATTAATGAAGGGGATGAACAGGAGGCAAGTTAAGGGGACAGGAAACAAGAGGAGTGAGAGACGTAATAGATGTGCAAGTCAGAAGAGGGGAACAGACTACAGCCAAAACATCTAACAGGGGCTAGTCCGCAGACACAAGAGGGCCATGGACAACACAGATAAATACCCACATAAGACCAGACCAGGGACATAAGGGCAAAACATACTGGACACTGAGCTAGACCTGACAGGACACTAATGGGTTCTGGAAGTGCACACAGGCAGGGCTGGTGACAGCAGAATGAACAGGGTGGAGATACAGGACAGGACAGACACGAACATGGGGCACAGGGAAAAGGCAGGGCAAGGGAACCGGGAAAGGGACATCAGGGGAGTCAACTGAAAGAAGACTGTAGAAGGACAGCTGTGCAAAAACAGGGAAGACATGAATGGGGATTTGACTTCAGAGGGGGCTTGTTTAGGCCCTGGGAAGTGGGGCTTCAACCCATGGACACGGGGCATCCCAGGGTTCAGGGGAACCTGAAGGGCAAGGAGTAAGGAAGGGGCAGGCACTGCAGCCATGGATGACGTACCCCTGTCTTCCTCTCTGGGAGACCAAGGCCTGGCCAGCCCCTCAGGCCAGAACACAGGGGTGGTTCAGGTTCAGGATAGCAACCATGGTCCACAGAGCAGGACACAGGGCCAGACCAGAGGGATTTCACTCAGGTCAGGTCAGGCAGGTCCTCCTCCAAGTTCACTGTCCCTGAGCAGGTGACCACCAGGCAGGCAGGCTCAGGGCTGGAGGACAGCGGAGGGTTGACAGGCAGAGAGCAAGGCTGGTGGAGCTCGACAGATGCATCTCAGGAGACTGGCCAGGAGCCCCTGAAATCAGGTAGAGCTCAAACATCTCTGGACATGGAATGTCGGAACAGTTGATACTTGCATTTCATGAAGTTATGTGGCCGAGCGGCCTTGTCCAGGCCGGGCTCCCGTGGCCGAGGAGCCTCAGGCTCTCTTAGGTCCAGTGCAGTGGTGCACTCTCCAGGACTGGGCAAAGCAGCCGGAGGGAAGGAGGGCTCAGGGTTGGGTCGGGAAAGACAGGACCAGGAGCGGACTCAGCTAGCCTCCGCAGCCTTCACTCCCATCAATGAGCACTCACGGAAAGCCACAGGGCTCCCCAGAGCAAGCTGAGGAAGCACCATGCTCTTCCATAGCAGATTCTACAGACCTGGATGAAGTTGCCTCCACTGAATCAAGCGCTGGGACTACTGCCTTATTGGGAAAGGGCTCCTCCTCTACAGAATGCACCATGTTTACTTCATACTGTAGGGTCTGGATGCACCATGTTCACTATCATCATCGCCTCCTCCACAAGGGCATCTGGAGAGAGGGAGGCAATCCACCCAGGTAGATCCGAGAGGCAGGTTAAACTCTCCAGGGAGAGGAGCACCACGGCAGTGCAAGCAGCTCAAAATAAGCCATGAACAGGCATTGGATTTCCATGGCATGTGCTCCAGCCATATGCTGAGGTGTGGGGAGATCCAGCATTCTGTCACTTGCGGGGGAGGGCAGAGAACTCAGAAGCAGGATTAAGGGGAAACATAGGGACTTGATTGAACTCACCAGGGCAAGAAACAAAAGGGATCACGTGGGGGATACTGCCAAACAGGTCTAACCATAGACACAGCAGGGAGCAACATCAACAGCACTGGCAAAGACAGGACTGGCAGGCACTTACACACTGGGTTAACAAGGGGATAAACAGGAGGCAGCTGGAGCACGTTAACCAGGGGGCAGGAACAAGAGGAGAGACAAACACAGGCGCGTTACAAGAAATGGGAGGGGCAGATAAGCAGGGCGTGACACTATGGAACAACTACTTAAGCTGATTTCTAAATTTTATATTTATTTATTTTTGATTTGTTGCTTTTAAACGTTTTATTTTCAAAGATTCAGACTATATCTGAATGTGATTAATTATTTCCTTAATAAATTACTTAATGATTCTCGATCAATTAAGTAACTTAAAGTTTGAAATACCTGAAGCGGAACAGAACACTAGCTCTTCAGCTAAAACATGCAAAGATCTTATGCAGTTTAAAGGCAACGTGGGCGCAGGATGCAAAATAATTCACAATATAGCATCTCCAACCGTTGTTTAAACACAACATTTCTAGCATAAGCACAAAATCAAGAACTTCTACGATGACATTTACTCAAGTCATGCCGTTAGTCAAGTTCTCAGTCGTTTTCATCAGTTAACTTCAGTCATTTTCAGAGTGCGCGATGAGTCGTGCGCGATTTTCTCAAAGGTTTAGCGACATGATTAAGATAAGCACTATAAACTATGTCTTCGTAGTAACAAAAATAACTTAAGTGATAATTCTCACCACCCAGTGTATATTTTTTGCTATATCTAGATGAAATGGCGAGTATGACTTTATCTTTAGATAAAATACCTTCAAGGAAAAATATGAGGGCAACTGGAAAATCTTGCCTCACACAACTGAACTTAATGTTATTCGACAAAACATGTCTTAATTGTCATTGCTTTGTGTAGCCTACTGTATATGCAGGTGTTGGATTCAGCCCCCTCCGCTATTTTGATAAATAATTTGTTTCTAAATAATACGAACATATTCATTTGTATAAACATTGCCAATAATTAATGATCGATTCTTGGCGGAAAAGCCCAATCAAGTTAACACGGTACGTTTCATACTATTCATCATCACATCGGTCCATCAACCGCGACAGCACAACTGCGCCATCAATCATGTAATTTGAGATAGGGTTCGCGCTTGACAGAAATTGTGGAATATTTTTTATCAACAGAAAACAGCAATTTGGTTGAAGATAAATCCAACATTACTAGAGATTTTTTAATATTTAAACATAACTGTGCCGGTAAGATCAGTTTCTTCAAATGAAGAAATCATCGACCAGTTTGGAATTATTTGCATCGATTATTGTGTTGTGATATTGTCTAAGCAGGTGGAATAAAAAGAAAAAACGTTTTTGGGATAATGGGATATACTATCGATCCTTCACTGTATCAAACCAGCCAGAAGCTCAGACCGTGGCTGTCCCAGCTGATTGGACTAGACCAGCCACGCATCCGATTGGCTGGGAACCTTTCGCAGACCGTAATCGCTGTTACGTCACTGGCGCCGTGTAGTGCCGTGACTGCGGTGCGCACATGCGCCTTGCAGGAGAGTGTCGAGTCGCGGCCGATCTGTGCCAGGGACCGGATAGGAAGAGGGGGAGATACAATGTCACTGCAGAGGTGCCAGGCTGAATGGGAAGAAATCGACCAGGAGTACCGGCAGTTACAGGTGCGCTCCGTTTGGGCGAGTCATCTAGCTAGACCTGGGCAGATTACCTATACCTTTGACGGTTTACTGAATATATATATGTAAGGTTAAAACACTAAACACTTTTTATTGTGGGTAGCTGACGTTATTAGTCAGGAACGTGTCTTCGGAGAATGGTGTCTGTTTAAGTCGCCTGACCGCGTTTACTTTTAATCCAAAACACTTTTTAAATTATCTTGGCTTACGTTGATCACGAGACACGTGTTTTAATACGGACAGTTTAAATATCTGTATGTTGGGAAAGAATTGAGGTCTCGAGTGTCCCCGCGTACTTTGATGCGCTCCACAATAGCAAGGCCTGTGAACTACCGGCAGATTGATGAGTTTTCTTGCCAGTTATTGTGTTATGGTGATCTCTTTAAAAGTTAATGGTCACTCCTCTAGTTAAAAAGCAGATGGCCTTAAAGCAAGTTTCCGGGGACGCCCCAGTGGTTAAAATGTCTTGCGGTATCCTTTTCTGGTTTGATCCATGGGGGAAACGATTAAAGGCAAATTAAATATTTTTAAGATACACGTAGGGAGGTAAGAAATCCGCGTAAAAATGGGATTAGGCATAGACAAAGTTCTAATACTGTCGTAAACTCCTGTCAATGTGTGTTAAATCGATTGCTGATGGATATCCGTGATTACACAGGGACTTACTACATGCCTGACAATTGCTTTATACAGATGTGACTCAGTTGTACATGTTTATTGCGCAACCTCTTTTCACCAGTCTTTACAAAACAGCAATCAACCAAATACAAAAATCAGAACAAGTTGAGCAATAGATATTTATTTGATATTATTTTATCTTTAGAATTAATTTCCAAAATGTTAAGTCACTATTCCCTAGAGAAGACTCGACGCTGAAAACTCTATTTTGCGCAAGTAGGCCTATATTGTGTTGTCACTGCCTTTCTAAGTCATTTCTCCAGCAAGAATAATGTCATGCTTGACATAAGGATATGGTTTCTTGTATCTTTAACCTAACACCTTGTTATTTCTATTATTTATTATCAGCACCATAAAAAACAAATGTGTACCTGTTTTTTTTACTCCATTATTGCCTCCCCCCAGGAAACTCACAAAGTTTACAGACACAAACTAGATGAACTCACCAACCTCCAGACACTCTGCAGCAACTCTGTTAGCAAGCAGAGGAAAAGTCTGAGGGATCTGAATTACAATCTCCTCAGGTCAGTAGAACCAAAACAGCAGTGTATGGTTTTTGCATTTAATGCATTATGTACAAGTTTGATTAAGTCAACAGGCTGAACAAGGTCTGACTTGATTTCCCACAGATGTTTGAAAACAAGTGACCCAAAGGAATCCGAGCAGATAAAAGCCATACAGACACAAATCAAAGAGAAGCAACATGTCTTCTTTGATATGGAAGCATATTTGCCAAAGAAAAATGGGTAAGATATGACAAGTTTTAGCTAAAAGGAAATACTCCATCAGTAGTGTAAAATGTCACTGAATATTTACTGATGCTAGATAGAATGAACAGTTTTACTACGGTTGTGACTCAAGAATGACTGACTTTTGTGTTACATTCTTAAATATCTTTTATGTTTTGTTCTTTTAGGTTGTACTTAAACTTGGTCCTGGGCAATGTGAATGTAACTTTACTTAGCAACCAAGCAAAGTAAGTAAATTTTGTCAGCATTTTCAGTAATGCCTGTTCTTGAGTGAACATAACTCTGTGTAGGAGAGATTGATGCAGTTTTGCACGCATGCTCGTGTGCATTATGTGCCTGTCGGACTGCTGTTGGTCCATCGCTCTGGATTTCACACTGCTGTTGTCTTCTCCCCTGATAGATTTGCCTACAAAGATGAGTATGAGAAGTTCAAGCTCTACATGACCATCATCCTTCTGCTTGGAGCCATATCCTCCAGGTTTATACTCAATTATCGGTGTGTTGCCCCATTTAGATGTTCTTCCCTCGTTTTGGATAACAGATCATGACCTCTTCACTAAATACATGTTTTTAATGGCTTCTCCATCTGTTGCAGGGTTACTGATGAAATATTCAACTTCCTGCTCGTCTGGTACTATTGCACTCTGACGATCCGGGAGAGTATTTTAATAAACAATGGGTCCAGGTAAATGGGAAACACTTACTTGTGCGGACGGAGTAGCATGTAGCAGTTAAGGAGTGCAGTCAGCAGTTAATAAATTAATCAAGTGAATGAGAGCAACTGACTAAAATTGACTGAGGCAGCAGGGGATGTGATTGGCCAGACGTGGCATTAAAGGTGGAGGGAGGGTTTCACCTGACCTTCGTGTCCTCCTGCAGAAATATGAAGCTTCTGCACCTTAACTACCATGAGTTTAGGCTCTGCAGGCCTTGCTTGTACACAGCGCAGTAATGTAGGATGGGGGTGGCCAATGTTATCCGCAAAGGGCCAGGGTATATGTAGGATTTCGCTGTTCGAACCCAGATGTGCGGCTCCTCAGCCAATCAGTCCTCTGATTTGTAATCTAATTAGGTAGCTGCAGTGAAAACCCACATACACAACAGCCATTTCTGGGGAAGATTGCCCTCCCCTGATCTAAGAGGTGGACTGGGAGATTATGAGTTCTGCAGAAATGGTGCACTTGCGGGGTGCCTTATTCCCTGATGGGGCTCGCTATATATTTTTCTGGGTTTCACGAAAAAGCCCAGATTCTAGCCTAAACACTTTCTCAAACACTTATTCAATGGAGATTCTATGGTAGCAGGCAACGTTATGTCTTTATGCCTTTAATAATGAGTGTATTTAGCTGCTACAAGGACAAAATACATTAAAAAGCTCTCTGTAATAATCATAATTTAATAAACATGAACAGGCAACATTATGGTGTTTTTTTTAATGGTGGTCTTATAGAAAGGAAAACAAAGTTCAGCACTGTGACCTGGTTGGGTATGAATTGTTAATTGTTGTAACCCCTCCCCCCCCCTTCTTTCCAGAATAAAAGGTTGGTGGGTATCCCATCATTACGTTTCGACGTTCCTGTCAGGTGTGATGCTGACCTGGTAAGGTGGATTGCTTTTTTTCCTTTTTGATTGATGCAGTGTCTTTGTATTGCCCCTGTGTGTGAGTGGAGGGCCCTGCGAGGGTCCGGGGTGACCCCACGCATGCCCCACATGCTTCCTGAAAGCGATTCTGGATAACTGGCCGCGTGTCAGTAATGCCATGACAGAACGCCCTTCTTCCCTTGTCCTTCCGAACAGGCCGGATGGGGTGGTTTATCAAATGTTCCGGAATCAGTTTCTCGACTTCTCTATCTATCAAAGTAAGCATTCACTAAATCCATCACGTGGACTTCCTTGTCTGGTACTGCCTCATCCACTGTCGGCCATCCGTGGAAAAGGACTGACTGTTGTTTGCCCTGCAGGTTTTGTACAGTTTCTGCAGTATTACTACCAAAGTGGCTGCCTGTATAGACTACGGGCTTTGGGGGAGAGGAACCAGCTTGACCTGACAGTCGGTAGGATGCTTAAAATGTTACCTATCAGACAGATCATCTGAAAAACGTAATATTGTTCTTTGAAAAGCTATCTGTATAGTCCTACTAATATACACAGACAGATGCTCCTCTACTTACGAACGAGATACGTTCCGACGGCCGCTCGCAACTTGAAATGTTCATAAGTCGGAAAGAGCTAGGATGCTGGGATTACGCACGCTACGCTGCTGGGAGTAGTGGGCAGAAGTCGTACTAGGCGGAATTGGCATGCAGAAAAAAAAACTGATGTTGCGGACAGGAAAAGGGAGCCCAAGGAACACAATTTGGACTTGCAGTGCTCTTCATTCGTATGTCTGAAAGTTCGTAAGTAGAGGAGCATCTGTAATACAGCGACATGCCTCATCACGTCATGTTACATCCTTAAAAAACAATCAGCACCTCTCAACACAATGGTGTAGGAGATATTCAGAGGAATCCAAGCTGCCAAGAAGCACATTGGATGCCTGGAATACACACTCATGTTTGTACTTGTGCTGAGCTTGGAAATTCTTGCAGCGTCTTGTGCAGGTTAACCCCTGACCATTACATTTTGGCCTGTCCAACCATCCTTACTGCAGAGAGGTCTTTGTTTAAAACCTTCTGTCTTCTGATATTGTACCATGAAGTAGGGCTGCGCCATATCATACTGTCCACGATAAATATTTACGTGATAAAGTGTCACCTCGCCATATCAATGACCTAGCGATGCGAGGGGTTTAGGGCTGCCACTGACGACTATTTTCTATAGATTAATCCAGTAGTTCTCAACCGTTTTTGCACCGCGCCCCAATTTTTACCATGCCGGCTCAGTCGCAACCCAATATCAAGTATAGATTCAAGTTAACGCTGTGATCAAGCATGCAGTCCGCTCTGCAATTTACGCCAATCAATGTCTATCGCACAAAATCTGGTCGGATTTTGAAGGTTAAAGTCTGATTTTTTTTTATTTATTTTTTTAGGTAAATAGTTACAATTTTTATTTAATTTAACAAATATATATTTTTTAATTAGTTTCCTTTTTCATTTCAATTTTTACATTATAACACTGTAAGCACAATGCGCAGGATCCCACACACTGGCACGTCAATCGACGTAGAATAACCTCAGATTTTAGCAGGCAGACGACTTTAAGGCTTTAATAATTAGTGTATTTAACAGCTACAAGGACAAAAATATTAAAAAGCTCTCCGTACTACTGACGGTCCATCATCCAGAATAGCGCCTATGCGTTTCCTCTTCAGGTGCTCGTGCATAGTGCTGGTGTTACATTTTGTTTGCATTTGCACTTAAAATTTGAGGTCAATTTTGTTAGGTCACGGTATTGTGCAAACTGCTGAAGAGTTACAAGGTTAAGGTAGTTATTTTTGAAGTAAAGCAGTAATCAGTTATGTTCTACAGGGAAAACAGTACCTAGGCTACTTTTGTGCTTTCAGTTGACTTGAGCTGTATCACTGTATATGATGCTGTGTCACTACTATTACACTATATTGGAGCTGCTGGCATCTTGTGGCAATAGATTCACACTTTGAATTAGTTAGTCTGTCATCAGTGACAGTAGCTCATTGGGAAAAGGAGGATGGAACATACCCTGAATTTTATTTGCACTAATAAATGCTGTGGCCTGCAAGCTGGGATCACCAATAAAATGTTGCTCAGTATTATTTCTTTGTATATCATGATAAATGCCATTATCGGAGATTTCCTTTAAGTATCATGATATACTTTTGAGGCTATGTCGCCCTCCTCTACCTGGAAGCAGTGTTTTTGGAGAACAGGTTTGAGGTGAAATGGTTGACATTTCGGCAATCCTAAATTTAGCTCCCTTCCCCCAGTGATGTGTGTCACAGGAATTAAGATTGCAAACTTATTCAGATCGAAAGCAAATGACCGTAACGATCTGCACGTGCTCAAAGTTTACCAGCTACTACACCATTGAGGTCCGAGCCGTTTGAAATCTCAGCACAGCCATGTTAAAAAATAAATAAAACTCTTCTTTCATATTAATGCATTGCTTCCTACTCTGGTCTTCAGGGACTCACCGTGGATTCATGTTTTTGCTCCCTCCCAGACAGTTCACATTTTTGCTTCAGAGCTGGGAGGGAGCAAAAATGTGGACTGTCTGTGGGTCCCTGAGGACCGGATTGGGAAACACTGCTGTTGGATGTTGGGAGTCCAATTATATCTGCCTCATTTCTTTCTCTTGGCTCAGAGGGCTTTCAGTCCTGGATGTGGAGGGGACTCACTTTCCTCCTGCCCTTCCTCTTCTTCGGCCATGTAAGTATGAGCCTGTGATATCACTGGCAGCAAGAGGTGGGGGGGACGAATCGGGATGAAACTGTAAGGGGGGGGGCATCCATTCTGAGAGGAGGGCAGCTGTTGACCCCCTGATCATTCGTGACTGTCATGAGGGGCCAAATTAGCCGTTTCACGTGACATCTTTAGTTTCATACTTTAGCAACTGTTTTTCAGTGTCGTTTTGTTATGTACAGACAAGTGACTAAAAATACTTTGGAACAAATGCTTGTGTGTTTGCAGGTGAGGGGCAGATTTAACATGAACAGAGTTTGGCACATTATATAGAACTGTGATGCAACTAAATAAGCAACAAGACTCTGGTAGAACTGCACAACATGTCAAGGTGTTATAACAAACAGTGGTGAACCCTCACCGATAATTATGCCTGCAAGTAAGCGGCATGCGACAGTTTTAGCGTAGAGCCAGATTGGTTGCTATTGGCTGGTTGTGTTCACCTTTCTCATCTCACTGTGACCTTTTCTGTCCCTCTTGCAGTTCTGGCAGCTCTACAATGCTGTCTCTCTCTTTGAGCTGGCCAGTCACAAAGACTGCAAGGAGTGGCAGGTGAGTTTGCTATGTAGCGGCAACAACAACTGCAATAACTAGTTTCGCTGGAAATGCTGAGTTAATTTTAAAGGAGTGCACAGACGCTCCTCTACTTACGAACCTTCAACTTACGAACTTTCAGACATACGAACGAAGAGGACTGTAAGTCCAAATTGCGTTTGTTAGGCTCCCGTTTCCTGTCCGCAACATCAAAGTTTGTTCTGCCTGCCTAGTACGAATGCTGGCCGCTACTCCCGCCGCACAACAGCGTAGCGAGCGTACTCCCAGCATTCCAGTTCTTTGTACTTGCGTATCGGTAAGATGTGCTCTCTTGAGAGCAAAGTTTACTTCATTTTTATTCCAAAATATTCTGTGCATCCATTATCCATTTTTGTTTTATGTATCATTAGTAATGTGTTTTACGATAAGAAAACATGTATTGACTTTATATCATAGTATATTCAAGTCATGTTGATTGTTGCTGTCTATTTAAGTCCATGTTAGAGTATGTTTCCCCAGTCCAGTCATTAACATCTTGACGTTGTTTTCATGTTCTTGAGTGTGTTTCCCCAAAATAAACCCTATGTTCACCTGATTTCGTACTGCTTCCCCGTGCCAAATGCGTGACAGAATGACCGGACTCGGGAAACATAATCTCACACGGACTTAAATACACAAGACTAATTAACACAACTAGAAACAGCTGATGACACGGGGATTCCACACGAGGTAGCGAGGGAGGTGTGGCACACAGGAGGATCGGCACGAGCAGGGCATGACCCATACTTACTTATGCATGTATATTTGAGTACCCTTAAAATGATGTTGAATAACGACTTATGAACATTTCAAGTTACGAACAGCCGTTCGGAACGTATCTTGTTCATAAATAGAGGAGCGTCTGTATATAGATATTAATTCAAGTGCATTCAGTTAAAGCAGTGGTTCCCAAACTTTCTCTGTAGGGCCCCCCTTTTCTAGATAGGAACATTATTGAGCCCCCCCCCCCCATTCAAACTACACAGGTTCAGATTCAAACTTTATTTGAAATACAACTCCCTTTTCTAATTGAGCGAAACAAATACAATTACAAAATACAAATGGTGCAATTTAACCACTGTGGGAGAAAAAAGAGCAATCAATTAAAAATAAAAGTCCAGCATAAGTTTGAAATTATGCAAATGCAGATTTAACATTCCTGTTAATATTCATTGGCTTACACAAATTAGTTTGTCTTATGATTACCGCATTTTGTTTTTAATGATAACCGCAGGTTTCAGCCTATACTATAGCACAAAACACTAAATCATACCCATTAATTGATAGTCTCCATGCACTTCATGTAGAAAATTTTAAACCTCGTTTTTTATGATATGGTTAGATTTTTTTTGTCCGGCGCTGCAAAACGTCGTCACGCATCACCATGTCACATGGTACAAAAACCTTGCAAGAGCAAGATGACTTAAGACAGATCGTACAGCACCTCTCAGCCGGCTGAACAAACTGGAACAGCGTCCATGCGACACAACTTTGCCCTTATTGGCTGAAGAACGTGTCCTTTGTATGACGTTTGTATCCCAGGCAGTTCCGATGCGTTATCTTCTATTTCTCCCGAATATCACGTAAAGCAGTGAGAACTGGTTTTCAGTCAATTTACCTGGTAAAATAAAGTCTAAATAAATTACATAAATGCTCTAATTGTACACGTAAGTTAGTGGCTCATTTATTGTTAGTTACTGTAATGTTGCGCTGCATTATTTGTTTAGTCGTCCAGCCTGTGAAGAGATTATTTTAGGGTGGCACATGCCCCTGAGGCTATCCCATTGGTGCGCCCCCCGCAATACCTCTGCGCCCCCCAGTTTGGGAACCACTGGGTTAAAGTAAGAATTTAAAAGTGGATGCTTTCTTAAAATATACGTAAAACTAATTGAACCATCAAGAGAATAATTAAGAGGTGTTATAAACTAAAAGAACAATGGTATTTTTTTTCCCCTCCCTATGATTAATTTTGCCTGACATGTTTGTGTATCTGTATGTGGGCAAATTTGTTTGCTACGCCCGAAAAGTTAACTTCCCAGTGTTTGTGAAATTTATTTACTGTGGTTTTTATTCCACCCACCCCACCCCACCCAGGTACTGATGTTGGCACTAACCTTCCTCGTCCTTTTCCTCGGGAACTTTCTGACTACACTCAAAGTCGTCCATCAGAAGTTCCAGAAGAATAAAGGGAAACTGGGAAAAAAGGAGTGAAGCCTGGCTTCGCCATAGAGTGGCCATGTAGACAAATGGAGCAATGCGGATTGGTTTAAAAAATATTCATTTTAAGAAGGGGTAGCAGAGAGTTTGTGGGGTCCTTTTCTGTTGCTGTTCAACTGATAGCCAAGGAAAAGCGTGGAAACAAACGCCTCCGTACTGCAGTTACACCGTAGGAAGGGCTGGCTTCTCTTCACGGTTATTTTTTAAAATTGTTTGTATCTCTTTTCTGTTGACAGCAAGTTGGCTCTTGTTAATTCATGTGCACGCACAAGGCCATATGGATCATATTGTTGCTGTGTGAGTGTGTGACAGGAGGGATGTTTTTTTTTTTTTTTGGTATTAAACATCCTCAAAGCATTTGGATGTATGACTGAAGACAGACGTCAGTGCTGTCACGGCGGAGAATGCCTCTTGGGTGATTCGTATGAACGTGTAAGTCGCCGTCCATTCACCTGTGGCTGCTCTTTGTCCACCATTTAAATGGTGATTTTGCTGCTCTGGAACTGACAGGACTTTTGCCAGGTTTGGTCCATATGCTTATTTTATGTGTGTAATATGTCAACGTAGTTATTTTCTACTCACACTTATTCTTAGATTTGTTTTTTTTTTTGAAGGACATTTTGGTCAGTAACATCAGAGAAAGTGAAACGTGAAACTATTGTCTGCCATTTTTGGGATAAGGCCAATCTGATAGTAGGTATTGGGCAAACAGTGTTTAATAAGGTTGGTTCCTGTTTGACCTTCGTATAGAGCTGGATGTTGAAATGGTACAGAAATGGACTGGCAATTTGGCTCGAAAGTTTTTTGTTTTTTTTTTCTCTTTACCACTATGGTGCCCAGTGTCTTGGGTTACAGTTCAGGATGTTCCCAGTCAAGGAGACCTGGCGCAGATCAGAGGTTAGAGGAAGCAGCCTCTTCCATCATTGCTGTCATAAGTAACATTTTGTTCTCTGCTCCTGCTGCAGTTTGGCGCCGCTGCTTATCTGAGTTTTAAAGGAGACTGTTGTTCCCAGGTCTGTGGATTTGATCATGCACAACCAAACAGACGGACATGCGGTGTTAAGGCTGATTTTATACGCCTGAGTAGAATCTCCAACATTGGTAGCTGCGTACTGTACGCCGTAACCCGATACCTGCGTTAACATTTCTGGAGAGGTGTGCATCTGGCTGTCTGCTGAAATATAAATCAGCCTTCATGTCCTTGTTGACACAGAAATGCACAATGAGTCAATACAGTTTGTATATAATGGACTCCTAATGAATTAGGGAGGATGCATAGCCCATATGGGATGAGATTGCTGTGCGATGATCTTCCCAGTTTAACCTGATGGGAGGTAGTAGAATAACCGGTCTGAGGCAGGCAAAACCACATCACTCGCCAGCTCCAGAAAATTACCAGGAGTCAGAGCTTAGGTGATATTCAACCACTGACTCTGCTGTTTGGGGAAAAATGTCTGCATGATTTATTATTTTTTTTTTTTTTTTAAACATTGGCTTATGTGTAACCTGTCCCTAGCTGCATTGAACACCAAGTCCCATAAATACACTCCCTTGCAGCTCTGAGTGACTTATTACATGTTAGGTTGAATTTGAAAGCTCCTGGATTGAACACTGTTTAGACCTTCATCTGTCTGAGCATAATTTCTGTAACACCATGTAATGGCATGGCGATACTGAATAAATGTAGGGCTTTTAATTGCCCTGTGTGATTTACCAACACGTGAGAAATAAAACATTGCTGAAATGTCTGTCTAGTTTTGGCACTATATGGAGTGGTAGTTATCTAAATGCTTTGATTGCAGAGTACCCCTAAACACGTTCCTTATAAGTGATGATTACACAGTGGGTGTACACTTTCTGCTCTGTGCCTACATTGATGAGTTTTGGTGTCTTCCCTTTGCTACTGCAGTTTATAAAAGTAGTGCTCTATGCAGAGCTTCAGAGATGTGGAATCTCCAGGGAACCTTAAGGGGCGTGGAATCTCCAGGGAACCTTAAGGGGCGTGGAATCTCCAGGGAACCTTAAGGGGCGTAGAATCTCCAGGGAACCTTAAGG